TTTAGTAGAGACGGGGTTTCACCATGTTGACCAGGATGGTCTCGATCTCTTGACCTCGTGATCCACCCGCCTCGGCCTCCCAAAGTGCTGGGATTACAGGCTTGAGCCACCACGCCCGGCCGACTCATTCAGTTCTGTGCCGATGGAGAGCAGAACCCGAGTCACCGTGTGAGGCCCGGCCGCACCACCATCTGCTCTGTCCACGTAGACAAATTCTTTGGCTCTCAGAGGCTCGAGTTTCTTACCTTCAAGTTTTTGTTCTCCTTTCCTTTATTTTTCCCATAACCCACTGGAGAATCAGTTTCGTGTTCCTGATCATTCTTTGCATGAGTTGGGTCCAGCCAAGTCAGCTCAATCAGCCACTCTGTGCCAGTGCTGAGCTCGGGGATGGAGGTGGGAGTGGGGGGTGGGGGACCACACAGGCCTCCGACTCGGCCGGGCGCGGTGGCTCACACCTGTATTTCAGCACTTTGGGAGGCCGATCACTTGAGGTCAGGAGTTCTAGACCAGCCTGGCCAACATGGCAAAACCCTGTCTCTACTGAAAAAATACAAAATTAGCCAGGTGTGATGGCAGGCGCCTGTAATCCCAGCTACTCAGGAGGCTGAGGCAGGAGAATCTCTTGAACCCTGGAGGCAGGGGCTGCAGTGACCTGAGATCAAGCCATTGCACTCCAGCCTGGGTGACAAGAGGGATACTCTATTTAAAAAAAAAAAAGACATGACCCCAACTTTCAAAGAACTTACCCTACGTTGTTAGGAAGCAAATCCATGAAACAAACTTACACAAAACTGCTAGAATTACCAGAGAAGACAAGATACTCTGAAAACAAACAAAAATGCGAAGTCATATTATTATGTGATGTGAAACCCATGGCATAGGCAGAGATCACAATCGTCTATTTCATTCACATCACACTTTCTAGGTTGCAACGTGCCTTTCCAGAGTCCGTTGCAGTTGATCCTCACGTGCAGTTCTATAAAGTAAGAAGGCCGAGTATTACCACTAGCTTATCGTCATCATCATCATCATCACTATTATTGCAATTTTCAGAGGAGAAAACTGAGGCTCAGAGAGGTTAATTAACTAAGGTCACACTGCTAACAAGCTGCAGAACCAGAGGCTCTGGGGGTCTGGAAGCAGAATAAATGTTCACTGAAGTCACCAGAGATGATTCCTTAAAGAAGTTAGGGGTTGAGGTGAGCCCTAAGGGACAGGGAAAGATACAGACACTCAGAACAGAGGACAAAGTATGATGAGGGGCCAAGGATGGGAGTCTGGGATGAGCAAGATGTTTATAGGAACAGGAGACTGGCCTACTTGGAGCAGAAGGCGGAAGCAGAACCAGAGGCTCCAGGAAGGTACAGAGAGTTATAAACGGCGACCTAGCAGCCAAATGAGAGGCCTACCCACAGGCTGGAAAATATATGCCTCTGGATTATTCCTGAATATAAAAACCACTGTAGGCTGGGGGCGGTGGTCATGCCTGTAATCCCAGCATTTTGGGAGACTGAGGCAGGTGGATCCCTTGAGCCCAAGAGTTCCAGACCAGCATAGGCAACATGGTGAAACCCTGTCTCTACTAAAAATACAAAACTTAGCTAGATGTGGTGACACACACCTGCGGTCCCAGTTACTCAGGAGGCTGAGGTGAGAGGATCACGTGAGCTTGGAAAGTCAAGGCTGCAGTGAGCTAAGACTATGCCCCTATCCTGCAGCCTGGGTAACAGAGCAAGGCTCTGTCTCAAAAAACAAAACAAATACACAAAAAATTGTGCAAAGATTTTTTATCTCGACAAATCAGAAAACTTGGCAACGCCAGACTTATAATTTTTCTTTCTTTCTTTCTTTTTTTTGTTTTTGAGATAGAGTCTGGCTCTGTTGCCCAGGCTGGAGTGCAGTGGTATGATCTCAGCTCACTGCAACGTCCACCCCCTGCGTTCAAGCGAGTCTCACACTTCAATCACCCGAGTAGGCACACGCCACCATACCTGGCTAATTTTTGAATTTTTTTGGTAGAGATGGGTTTTGCCATGTTGCCCAGGCTGCTCACAAACTCCTCACGTCAAGTGATCTGCCCGCCTCAGCCTCCCAAACTGCTGGGATGACAGCCATGAGCCTCTGCACCTAGCCAAGGCTTATATTTCTTCTGGAAAGAATCAGCTAGAGGCCTGACCCTCACCAGCATTTTCCAGGTGCTCTCCAGCCACCTGGGGCCCTCAGGCCCTGGAATGTAGCCTCTGGCAGTGGTGAGAACACAGACTCTGGAATCTGCCCTGCTCCTTACTACCTTTGTGATTGGTGTTCAGTAGATTACTTAATCCTGCTCAACCAGCTTCCTCATCAATAACATGGGGATAACACTAGAACCAACCAACTAACAGACATGCTCTGAGAATACAGTGCATTAAGGGTATGGAAGGTGCCCAGCATACCGCCTGAAAGTGGTTGCCACTCCCTAAACATGTGCTGCTGCTGCTATTGTAAAGATAAGGACAGATGAAGGGAGCGTCTGCACATCAGACAGAGAAGTGTGGACTTAACACCTCTCCTTCTCCCTCTTCCTTCCAGAGGGCACGAGACATCCATGTGACAGTGGAGCAGAGGGGTTACCCCGATTACAAGCTCATCGTGAACCCTTATGAGCCCATAAAGAAGATTAAAGAGAAAATCCGGAGGAGCAGGGGTTACTCGGGCCTGCAGCGTCTGTCCTTCCAGGTTCCTGGCGATGAGAGGCAGCTTCTTAGCAGCCGATCCTCCTTAGCCAAATACGGGATCTTCTCCCACACTCACGTCTATCTGCTGGAGGCCATCCCCCCGGAAATCCAGGTCTTCGTGAAGAATCCTGATGGTGAGAGCTACGCCTATGCCATCGACCCCAACAGCTTCGTCCTGGGTCTGAAGGAGCAGATTGAAGACCAGCAGGGGCTGCCTAAAAAGCAGCAGCAGCTGGAATTCCAAGGCCAAGTCCTGCAGGACTGGTTGAGTCTGCGGGGCTATGACGTCCAAGACAGTGACACCCTCATCCTCTCTAAGAAGAAAGAGGGACAGGCTCTGTTTCCAGCCAGCTAGTCTCCTCTGGGAAACTTCTCTGTATATTTCTGCCACCTACTCCAGAACTCATTCTGTGCACCACTCTGTCCCACTGTTTACTGGGAAGGTCCTAGGTCTTCACCAGCTTCATGATGAGTTATCCCAAGCCAGACGTGGTCGCTCACACCCGTAATCCAAGTACTTTGGGAGGCCGAGGTAGGAGGAATGCTTAAGCCAAGGAGTTCAAGACCAGCCTGGGTATCATAGGAAGACCCCGTCTCTACAAAATAAAAAATAAGCAGTTGGATGTGGTGGTGTGTGCTTGTAGTCTCAGATACTCGAGAGGCTGAGGCGGAAGGATGGCTTGAGCCCAGGAGGTTGAAGGAGGTTGAAGCTGCAGTGAGCTATGATCACACCACTACGCTCCTGCCCAGGCAACAGATACAGACCCTGTGTCTAAAAAATAAAAATAAGTAAATTTGTTTAAAAAAAGAATTATCCCAGCCCTGCCAGGAGGAGGATGAGACACTGAATATACAAATGGACAGTGGCCACACCACATATGACAATAGAATTCTGACCCACAATCAATCAACCCCAAACCATCAGGACTTGGTCAATAACTGCTTGCTTCTCTAATTCCCCGCCCCACTCCCATTCCGCTTCCAATTTAAGACCAACCGAGAAAGCCAAATAAGCTCCCCAGACCAATCACATGGTTAGCCCTGCTTCTAGCCAGTGTGCTTACAGCTTCTCCACACCAACAGCCTCAGTCAGGGCGTCCCTGGAGCCTTCCCATTTTCCTGCCTGTATTTAAATCTCTGTCAAGGGCAAGAGATGGTGGCTGGTCTCCATCTGCTGGAGACTATCCCCCTGCCAGATCCAGGTCCTCGTGAAGGATCCTGATGGTGAGAGCCACGCCTGTGCCATCGACCCCAACAGCTTCATCCGGGGTCTGCAGGGTGAATTCCCAATCGGAAACTGGGAATGAACAGCCTCTGTTAGCTCTCATTTGGGTGCTCCTTATTTTCACAGGGCCTAATGCTGCCCTAATGGTTATTGCTTGATCATTTGAGCTTCTCAACTCCAAGAAACGGGGACTGGGAAAACTGAGGCAAAAAGGAGACAAAGAATAGGAGACCAAGGCTGATGCAGTGTAAAAAAAAATCACCTCAACTCCTAAAATCCATACACAAACGGTATGTAATAGGAAACTGTAGGAAAATAACAGCGTCTTTATTATCAAAGGACATCATGTGATCGGGTTTACTCCAAGCAATAAAAAGTTTCCTTTTGCCTTCCCATTTTGTCCAGCTTTCTACTGGGCTACTCACCTACCATAGCATAGAAAATGCACATTGCAATTGGTTCTCAACAGCCTCTGGTCAATTCGGCAATCATAATCGGTATATTTCCCACTTCTGTTTGCCTTCAGGGACAGAAAGAGTGCCTCATTTCCAGAAGGCTGGTCCAGTCCCCATCTTTGTGTCCTTCATAATGCCCAGCACAGCCCACATTGTAGGCGGTGAGAAAATTCTTGTTTAAAAAAAAAAGAATGGCCAGGCACGGTGGCTCACACCTGTAATCCCAGCACTTTGGGAGGCCGAGGCAGACGGATGACGAGGTCAAGAGATCAAGACCATCCTGGCCAAACTGGTGAAACCCCATCTCTACTAAAAATACAAAAACTTAGCCAGGCATGGTGGTGTGTGCCTGCAGTCCCAGCTACTCAGGAGGCTGAGGCAGGAGAATTGCTTGAAACAAGAAAATGGAAATTGCAGTGAGTTGGGATTGCACCACTGAACTCCAGCCTGGTGATAGAGTGAG